TCATTGACTCGCAGTGGAGCCCGCCCACTTGCCACACTCGGCCGGGCGCACGCCCCGAGTGCCACAGGGCAGGAGGCAGCCTGGCCCCGCCCCCGGCTGGCCGGCCAGGAGGCGGGGCTGGAGCGGGCCTCTGACAAGCGCTAATCCCGGTATACGATCCGCAGAGTCCCGGGCTGGCCCCATACCCTCCCACCTTCCCCCAACAGGGTACTCAAGGAGAGGCCCTGGAATGGTCCTCTTGGCGGGAAACCATAGCTTCGTAAACTTTTTCAGCTGGAAGGTTGCTACCTGGGAGATCACATGGTTCAGCTGCCATTCATTCATTTATTCATTCACTGAATTAATTTTCTGTGTCCTCCTTTGTGCCAGGCACTATGCCAGGCTCTGAGGATGCAAGGGTCAAAGATACAGTGTCTGCATTCCTGGAGCTACCGTCTAGAATCTAGTGGAGAAACCAACCAAATAAGCAAACAAATATAATTATATATGTATTTATCTATGTTTATACATACACACGTTTACATATACACATACATACCTACCTGTGTGTGATTACAAATTATGGTGCTATAAAGAAAGCAAACAGAGGGTGCAATGAAATGGAGGACAGAGAGGGCCAGTTTAGATGGGAGAGGGCCTCCCTGAGCAGGTGACATGTGAAACATGCCCCGAAAGATAAGAGGCCACAGAGGCTGAGAGAGAGTGATTTGACCAAGATTATACAGCAATGCGTGGCAGAGGCAGCAATAGGACCCAAGGTATCCCAACTCCCAAGCCCAGTGGGATTTCCATATCACTAACCCACCTCCCTCACCATGCTGCCTTCCGGATGGGTCCAGAAGTTGTTAAGGTCAGCAGGTTGGAAGTACATGTAAAGACAGTCATGGTGACATCTACATATTCAGGTAAACCAGAGCTAGGGCTGGGCTTCTTCTGGCTCCAACCTCAGCCCTGGCCCAGCACAGGGAGGAAAGCAAATCAGCAAAGAGTGAAGGTAGCTATCTCTCCCGCTGGGATGGGAGATGGTTAGGGAGGGCATCAGGTGAAGGAATGCCCATTTTCTCCCAACCACACATTTTCTCTTTCCCTCTGATGTACTCTGATTAGATAGTTTGACTGAGTCCCCAGTGTGGAGTGTTCAGAGGTATAGGATCATTACACACAGTTAATTGGAGGCCTCTTCCCTGCCCCATAGAAAAGCTAAAAAATGGGTTAAATTATCCCTAAACTGAATTGTAATCCCAAAACCTAATCCCCGGTTTCATTCAGTAACCCTAGACGTGGCGTTTCTCTTAGGCGGATATATCTTAAGGGCCAGAGCTATAGCCTGTTTCTTCCCTGTTTCCTTACCCACAGTTCAGCTTTTTCTCACTGCTTGGTACATAAAAGTTCTCAATAAACAAGAACCAGAATTGAATTAAACCCCTGTGTGTGCTGCGGAGGAGGTGGAGGGGTGAGAAGACTGACAAGCTAGTTTTTAGAAAGCCCTTCTAGGTCAAGGGAGCTTGCATGTCTCTAAGCCCATGTCTACACATGCAAAGTGGAGAATTACGGAACCTTGTCAAAAGTCACTGTGAACACACCTTTCTTCAGGTAAGGCTGTGCCAGGTCTTATGCTGAGAAATTAAAACTCGGTCCCTGTCATCTGAAACAGGAAATGCAGGTTCAAGCATGAGCCTGCAGTGATACAGAGATGACTGAATCCTAACTCTAACCTCACACTACACACACATTTACAAGACTATAGATAATCATTCAAGATGTGTTTTATGAAATGCATGGAGCTGGACAGGGCTGGGTACAAGGAGTGAGGGTGTTTTGAGGGACTCATGCCGGCCTGGGAAGCTATCCTCCCCTCCCCTGGACTGTTCTGGAAGACTTCCAACGTCTCCAAATGTGCTTTGGTTACACCTCCTCTTCCATAAGAACCTTCAGTCCCAGATTGAGTGATGCTTCATTATTCACCCTTCTGATAATACCTCACTGCTTGCTATTGTCTATTTGGTTTGGAGGGGGCCAGCATTGCCAGGCTAAGGTCTGCTCTGCAACTTTCCTAGGAAAGACCCATTAATAACCCAGGTCACATGACTGCCAGTCATGCAGTTATGGCCTGTGATGTGGGGGTTGTAGAGCTTAACTCACAAAGAGCAAGGCTCTATCCTGCTTACTGGGGTGGGGGTGGGTGTTCTCAAGTCTGCCCCCTATCCATTTGCCATCTCAGTCTGTCTGTCTCTGGTGTCTGTCCTGCCTTCCCATCTGGCCTGGGATGAAGAGCTTACTTTCATATTTGCATCGTATCTCAGGCTTGATGCCTGGTGCTCGGCTGACACTCAGGAAATAAGAGCATTGATGATGATGATAACAACAATGACAATGACAATCATGGAGTTGAGATGGTTAGAGTTGTTTGGATGTTAGAGAGAAAAGACATATCATTGGACCAGGGTGGAGAATTTAGTTCAGTTTAGAAAAGTGAGCCAAGTACAGAAGTGACTAGGATAATCTGGCCCCGACTCAGCCCAGACCCACTCACGTCAGTCATCATCTGCTGCTCTAGCCTCAAGCTCACCATCGCATTGTGGACTTCCTTCTGAGCCACTGTGCTGTACACGCTGAACCTCTGGTTTGGTTGGAAACAAATCCCCCCACATCCTCTGCCTTCTCACGCCCTGCCCTGCCCTGCCCTGCGCTGATGAATGTGACCCTACCTTCCATTTCCTTCCTCTCCCCTGCTGTCCTACCTTTTAGAGGGGGAACCTCCAGCCTCCTACATTTGCCTTGTGCCATTTCAGTTCAAGAATATTGTTCCTCCTGCCTGATTTAAAAGCTTTTCGCCACCTGCTCATCAGTCCAGCTATGGACCCAGCCCAGACTCGAGGAGTTAGCTACCGGTTTTCAGTCTTCCTGCCTAATTCTTGCCATCAGGTAATTCTTATATGCACGGCTCATTCAACATTTTAGTTCAGCAGGTCTCAAATTTTAGGAAATCTAAGAAACACTCTGCTTACTAAAATCCAGAATCCTGGGCCCTTCCTTCAGAGATTCAGATTCAGTAGGTCTGGCTGGGGCCCAGAGAATCTCCATTTTTGCATAGGTGATTCTGAACTCTGCTTTGGCCTCAGTCCCTGACCTCAGTTCCAAGGCCTTTAATTCAATTCAATAGCCCGCTCACATGGTCACACCCTGGATCCTCCTGGAATGTTTCAACCTCTGAGAACCTAAACTATAGTGTCCTCCTCTCTGACCCCCTTATTCTCACTACATCCTCCTCCATCTCTAGTCTCTCAAACATTTGTTTTCTTCCAGCCCTTCAGCCCCTCCTGCCCACATGTCTTCCCCCCAGGTGAGAACCTGGGTTCAGTCCCTTGAACTATTTCTAACCTTAGCCTCCATACCAGCGTGTTCCAACCTGACAATCCACTTTTTTACTGCTCCAACCTCATGGACAGAGCTGGAGAAAATGGCGTCCCATGAATCAGGGCCTCTACAATTCAGACTTTATTGGGTCCCCCAAACACTAATGCTTGGCAGAGCTTTTATTTGCTGAGACCTCCTTTCATTATCCACAGTTGTTATTGGAAACCCCAATTCCAGCTCCAATTCCTTTGCTTTCAGCCAGTATCCTTCTTAGAGGAAATAAATTCTAAGTCCAGCCACCCCTCTACAAATTTTGCTTCTCATCTATGAATTTTTAGAGGAAGTACTATCAGCTCCTCTTGCTTGCTAATATCTTCAAGTAATGTTTCTCCTGGCTGCCACTTTTCCTTACCCTATGAGCAAACTCAAGTATCTCCCTGCCTTAAAAAATTTTCCCTGACTTTGGTTCCCTCTCTAGATTCTGTTCTGCCTTTATCTCAGCACAACTGAGTTTCCTGAAAGGCTGTCTCCGTGGGTGTGGTAGATTGCATTTTGGTTCTCAATTCTTCGTCTCTCCCTGGAAACACACCCTTCACCATGTGTCTATGCACTATTTCCGTGGAGGTGCAATATATTTCCCCTACACCAGTGATGTTGTACTTACTCTTGTGACTTGCTTTGGCCAATAGAAAGTTAGCAGACATGATACAAGCAGAGGTCTTAAATGTGCTGTTATGGTTGAACTTGGTCTCTGGATCTGTGCCTTTCACCGTGAGAAGATCCCTAGGGTAGTTAGTTGCTGGTCTAAGAGAAAGAAAGACACATGGAGGCGACCTGACCCCACTCACAGCTTGGAAGCCAGCCCAGCCCAGCAGAGCCCAGCCTAGATGAGCCGAAACAGACTGCCCACAGATGCTTAAGTAAGAAATACATGTTTACTGTTGTATGCCTCTCAGTTTTAGATTTGCTCATTATGCAGCATTATTGCAACAATAGCTAACAGAGACAGTGAGAAACAAAAAGATTAGTTATTAATGGTGTTGAAAAGACAAGGTGTTTGGATAACTGGTTAGCTAGTTGGAAAAGAGCAATTTAGACCCATGCCTCACAGAGTACACCAAAATAAATTCCAGGTGAATTATAATGTTAAGGACATATAATTAAGCCATACAAAATTAGAAGAAAATGAAATACATGTCCAACCTCTGAATAGTGGAAGATTTATTTCCTCTATAAAAGCAATAGAAGTGTTTTTCTAATTTTCTTTAATAGGCATATGTTACTTTTAAACTCAGAAAAAAAGCAACTGAAGATCTAACAAGGGTCTGGCTCCTCAAAAAAATTTAAACCTTCTCTATGTTAAGAAACAACACAAACAAAAGAAAAAGCCAAAAAAAAAAATTGTGGAAAACAGTTGCCTCAAATTTGTCAAATAGTTAATCTACTTAACATGTAAAGACCTTAAAAAAGTGAAAAAATACAAAGACCTCAATTAATACAGGGTTAAATAGCTAGTCTGCATGAAACAAGTTAAACTTCAAAAAAATCAAGAAAGTGCAAGGTAAACAATGAGATAAGATTTTCATCTATCAGAATAGAAGAGATTAAAGACAGTAATAAAATTCTGGAGGTTTCTAGGAATATGGGAAGGTGAGTACTCATACATTGCTTGTGGGGTGTCATTGGTACAATTTTCTAGAAAACAATTCCCAATACACATCAAGGCTTTAAAAATATTCACATTCTTTGATTCAGTAATTCCGTTTTAGAGATCTGCCTGAAAGATCTGCCTCGAAGATACCATTTGAAATGTACACAGTGGTGACTGTAAGCAGCGTACAGGTCTGGCAGCAAGGGAAGAGTTAGGTTCTATGAACCTTTGCTTGGCTTTAAAATGGTATTCGTAACTAGAACACAATGCAATGCATGATCCTGGATTGGCTCCTGCACTAGAAAAAAAGACAGTAAGGGGACAATTAGCAAAATTTGAAAAATGATTGCAGCGAAGTTTTTAGAATTGTATCAATGCTAATTTCCTGGTTTTGATACTAACACTGTAGTTAAGTTAGATGTGAACATTTGGGGAAGCTAGGTGGCTGGTGTATGGGACCTCCTTGTACTTTTTTGTAAATATTTTGTATACCTGAAATAACTTCAAAATAAAAAGTTAAGAAAACCAAAATGCACACAAATAGAGTTGTGTTCATATGTCAATAAACATTGTTTAAAAAAAGCAATAAAGATGTGGTAGATCCTGTTGGTCAATTAATATCCATTTTCTACTCTCCCTTTTTTCCTTATTAACCCCTGTTTTGTTTATGAACCCATAGCTTCCAAGTGAGTCCCTCCCCAGCCCTGGTGGGCAAATCTTGATTGGCTCAAGCCAGTTGGTGCTCTTATTGTCTTGCCAAGTGATTGGTTAGACCCAGGAATATGATGCAATTCCTGCCACAAGATAATAATAGCAAATATTTATATAGCACAAATCATGTGCCAGGCACTGTTCTCAGTTCTTTACACAGATTAACTGTCAGCTCTCACAATAACCCTATGAATCAAATATGGTTATAATTCCCACTGCACAGATAAGAATGCTGGGGCACTGAGAGATTAAGTCAATTGCTTCAGGTCACATGGTGATTTGCTTCAGGTTGAGATTGAGAGGGAAATAGGTTGGAGGCTTTCTAAAAAGATTTTCCTAGTTGTCAAAAAGGGATGTAATAAGGCTTTGCTCTTTTCTTGCTCTAGGATGCTGTCATCTGCCTGTGATGCCTGGGACTACAGCAGCCATTTTAGGACTATGAGGGAGCAGCCTAAGAGGCTATTCCAACAGTTGAAGATGGCAGAGCAAAAGTGAGGATGGAACTAGTGTCCCTGAAGACACAACTGAGCCTCTGAATTAACCAGTCTGAATTGGCCCCTGGACTTCTTGTTATGTGAGATAAAAATTGTCATTGTTTTAACCACTTTTAGTTGCGTTTTTTGATACTTGCAGCCCCAAACACCCAAACTAGTACTGTGGGTAAACTTTACATTTTGATTTAAAGTGGGAGAAAAAACAGGATACAAAATTGTATAAATTTTGTGTAATTAATATAATTGCTGCTAACAAAAATGCTTAGAAAAGTGTCTAAAATGCTATGGGTAAAGCCCATGCCTAGCATGCACAAGGTCCTGAGTTCAATCCCCAGTACCTCCATTAAAAATAAATAAATAAGAACCTAATTAGCCTCCACCAAAGAAAAACAAACAAACAAACAAAATAAATAAAATGCTATCAGTGATGATCTTTGATTGATGGGCTCATGGGATATTGCTTGGTTTTTTTATTCTTTATAAAAAACATTTTCTGACCTTCTATAATGAAAATGTATTACTATTTTAATGTAAAAAGTATTATTTTATTAAAACAAAGAAAAGAGTCCTCCTTGCTGCCTCTACCTTCACTTCACATCTGTTCTCTCACCATTCCATTCTAATTTGGCTCTGATCCCTTGGTCCTCAAACCCATTTGTCACTGTTCAATCCTTGTCACTTAACCTCGGGACAGAGCCTTCTTTCCTCACCTTCCCTGTTGGTCTCTTCTGGTTCTCTTGTCACATCCCTTACAGGCTTCCCCTGATTTCAGCTATCACTCGATATGTCTCATTATTCCCAAGAGAAGGGTCCACCCTAGCTTCTGTCTCAAGCTCCAAACCTAAATGCCATCCTTTTCCTGGTCATCTCCAGGTGGGACAGGGGAGGGGGGAGGGGGTCTTAGTCTCTTTTTCTGCAAAAGGGACTGATAATCTGTCCCGAGCTATTTTGAGGATTAACTGCTATTACCCAAGTAAAGGACGCAGTGCCCAGTTCATTGCAAGTGCTCCCTCAGTGTTCATTGATGTTATTGTACCTTGTATCATTCTTGGAACATTAAAGTCTGCTCCTTGTGGGTGCTCAGCCATCACTTGAAGTTGGGTCCTTGAGTCCTAACACGTAGTCCACTGTGGACACCCCCAGCCCCCGTCCACCTTACATAGATTATCAGAAAAAGCCTTTGGAAGCCCAGCTCTGAATCAGGTCTGCCCCCTGCTCAAAGCCAGTGTCTGCACCTTTAAATTCACATGGCTTGGTTTAGCAATAAGGTCTCAACCCAGTTTTCTAGTGTTTTGCACTCCCACTGCTCCCTTTCACGTGCTTCGTTTTCAGTCAGCCTGCACCAGTCGCTGTCCTGGGCCTTTGCCCCCTGACACCTGGGGTTCCACACCTGGAGAAATCCTTTCAGGCTCACACCCGAGGTGATCTAAGACACTCCAGGAGTAACTGTAACTAACTAAGGCCTAGATTCTCAGTCTGGGGAGTTTTGCAGGCTCTCCCAGGGGGAGGAAGGGAGGAGGGTGAATTCTTGCCCAGGGAGACTGGCGTGCCCTACCTGTGAGTACAGCTCTTTTAAAGCTACAAGTAAATCCTAAATCCTACTTTCAAGTCCTCTTTGAAGCCCCTTCTGATCACCACAACTCTTTGCAATGCCAGGGCACTACTCTACCTCTAGACTGGAAAACACCTGCTACCTCGTAGTCAAAAAGAAATGAATGGTTTGAAAAGTAACCCTCACTACTTTCCATTTTGAACTATGGGGGAGTCCATCTGGGGCAGCCACTGTGTCTCCTTTACAGGACTGTGGCCTCCCTGCAGGCAGAAATGGTGCCCTATGCTCCCTGGCCACCCCTCCCCTCAGCACCCAGCACCACGCATTGCAGAGACATAAGTGCTCAGGTGCAGGGCACAGAGGAAGAACAGAACCAACATGTATGACTGTCTACTATACACTAGATGTGCACCAAGCCTTCCCATGTGTTATTTCATCATCCTAAGGTAACAGTGTCCTCATGTTAGAGATGAACACACTGGCTGAGAGGCTAAGTTCCCCATCACAGAGCTAGTAAGTGACAGAGCTAGATCCGGTCCTGGTTTTATCTGACTCCAGAGTCCAGGCTCTTTCCATTGATACTGTGTTGCCAGCCAGGGTAGGGAGTGGTTCAGTCAGAGTCTGCCAGGAAATAGATGACACTCTCCAACAGGTAACGGGAGGAGAGCTTTATGGAAGAACTACTCTTCAGGTGATGGACAAGGTACAGGAAACACAAGGGACAGTGTAGTTTCCCAGGGCTACTGATGGTGGGGCTCTGGCACCACCTCAAGGCCTGACAGGGGAGGGGAGGGAGCAGTTACGGAACTTGGAGGGAAAGAGCTGTGTGGACAGGGCCACTTGACTGGAGTTATGACATTTGGTTGTGGGATGAGCCAGTCCGTGGTGACCCTTCGGGAGGGAGAAGAGCAAATACCCCAGCCCCACTGTCTCCTTGCTGCCCCTCTCCTGGGGGGCTCTCCACTGGCCAAACCTAACTGAAGCTGGAGGACAAAGGGTCCACTGCTGTGTCCACCCAGACCAGCCCTGAGCACAGTGAAGGATGGAGACAGGCATGGGGGGCAAATGGAAGGTGGCCAGCCAGACAAGTCCAGGGAAGATACGTGCACTAGGGTGGCTGTTGGGTGGGTGGAAGTATTGACCCTTCAGAGGTGAAGGCTGGATACCACCTTTCATCCAATGACTGAGACAGCTCCTAACTGGCTTCCCTGCTCACATGTTCCACCCCTACATTCCATTTTCCACTTAGAACCAGAGGTTTTTAAAAGATACAGCCCAAATCATGTCCCTCTCCTACTCAAAACCATTCAATGGCTTCCCCATAGGGTAAGACCCCAAATCCTTAACAAGGCCCAAGAGGCCCTGCAGATCTGGCCCTGCCCACCTCCCCAGTCTCCTTGCAGGTCATGCCCAGTGCTTACCACTTCCTAGGTACATGAGTCTCCTTGAAGTTTCTAGAACACCTCAAACTCTTTCAACTTCTGGGCAGCTTCCACAGCCCTCCCATAGCTTGTTCACTCAGAGAATAATAAATGCATGCCTGCCACTGCGTGCGCGTGCGCACACACACACACACATATATTCCCATACATGCACCATACAATGTACACACATACCACATAGACACATATACCATAAATACACCCATTCCATACACATATACACACATACACATATATACCACACATGCACATGTACAAACACACATACATACCATACACACGTCCATATCATACACACACACACACACACACGCTACACACACAGACCATACACACATTCATACCATATATACACCCAAAACACACACACACACACTGCCTGTGTGACTCAGGCTACTCCTTGATGCCACTTTCTCAGAGCAGCTGCCTGGGCCTCTGAATCCAAACGAGGTCCCTGTGTGCTGTTCTCTTGGGTGCTGAGTCCACTTTCCCTCAGTGCAGGTATTACCGTTACTAACTGTATATTTACTTGTGAGGTTAGTGGCTAATGTCTGTCTTCCCCACTGGTTGCTCATCCTGCAACCAAAGGTCAACAAATGCGGTCAGGTGGCCCTGTTCACACAGCTCCCCTCCAAGTTCCATAACTGCTCCCTCCCCTCACCTGTCAGGCCTGGAGCCCTCGGGAAGCGCCAGGAGGGCAGGGGCTGTGTTTGTTTTATTCACTCTTTTCCCCCCACTGCTCAGCACAGTGCCCAGCACAGAGCTAGCCCGTAAGAAATATTTGCTGAGTTAGTGTCAAAGGGCTGCGTTGAATCCTGGCTCTGCCACTCCTAACTGAGCCCATGAAGATGCTGTTGTACTGCTCTGAGATAAGTTCCTTAAGTTAACTTTTTATTATGGTGAACGTAAAACATCTGAACAAAGCAGAGAAAACAGCAGGGGCTCTCACGTCCCATTTCCTAGCTTCAACACTGGTCAACTTGTGCGTTTGGTTTCTTTACCTGCAGACAAGGGAGATTAGAGTGATTTTCAGACTTTTTTAACCCTGATTCACAGTAAGAAAGACATTTTCCACTGAGACCCAAACACAATATACGTATAAATACAACTGAAACAAAGTTACACAAAACAATAACAATGCTTATATTCTCATTTTTTCTAGTCTTTTTTTAAAATGTTGGTATGACCCACTTAACTGATCTAACTAATGAGTCATGATCAGCAGTATAAAAAGCATTGCACTGAATGATCTTCCATTAACCTAGAAAATTGTTAGGGTTTCCCCCTTTTTTTTTTGCCAAGGGATGATAGCCATATCCTGCCCTCTAGTGGTCAGATTTGGGAACTGATCGTGTCTTCCTAGAGGTCAAGTTTTATCCTGGGACTAACTTCTTTTCACTAAAAAGTACTGAGTGGAGGCTCTAGGCTAGGCATCTGAGGTGGTGGGATCTGAGCTGAATTACAAGAGCTGCCCACAAGAGTCTTCCCCCAATTGATGACCATAGCATAAGTACTCTAGATCTGTGCTGTCCAATGTGGTAGCCACTAGCCACATGTGGCCATTGAGTACTTAAAATATGGCCAGTGCAACTGAGAAATGTAATATTAATATTATTTATTTCTAATTCATTTACATTTAAATATAAAAATCGATACTTATTTCAGTGACTGGAAAACACTCAGATATGTTTGGAACAACTTGGGAATGATTGTGAATCTACATTTTCCGCTATACATTTTATAAAATCTAAATAAAGATACAGTATTTCTGATGAAAATTTAACATCCAAATCAAGATGTGCTCTAAATGTAAACTACATACTGGATTTCAAAGACCTAGCATGAAAAAAAAATCTCAATAATTTTTTATTGACTATATGTTGAAATAATAATATTTTTAGATATGTTGGGTTAAATAAATACATTACTAAAATTAAATTCACCTGTTTATTTTTAATTTTTAAATGTGGCTACTGGAAAATTAAAAATGACTCATTGGTTCACATTATATTTCTATTGGACAGCACTTACAAGGCTGGAGTTCCTTCTGATATCCCTCCTTCGAGGCCTTCCTGTGCATCTTACATCCTTGATGGAGATGAAGGAAGCCATGAGAA